CTGGGCTACAGGAGCCGTGTAACAAAAATAAAGAAATAAATAGGGCCAGCTCAGTGGGCAAAGGTGTCTGATGCAAAGCAGGGTGACCAGAGCTCAATCCACGGCACCCACATGGTAGGCAGCGAACCTGCTTCTTCAGGCTGCCCTCTGATCTCCATACATGTGCAATGGCCCACACATGGGCATACTTGTACACACAATAAGTAAATAAATAAGTGTAACCAAACACAGGCAAATAAAGTCTATACAAATACAACTATGAAAACCCAGGAGGCAAAAACCCCGCTCTGGGGCCAGCTTCGAATCCTTTTGATTTCCCCTTACAGCCTGCCTGGGCCTGGCCCTGCCCTGCGCTGCGACACAAGTGTTGTTCATCCTGTGTCCCAGGGCAAAGACACAGCGTTCATTGGCCTCTGTCACTTTAATGAGACAGCCCCTACACCCAACAAACACAAGCGCAGACATTTGCAACTAATTACGGTATTGCTGATCAGTCAAATTTCATTGCAAATTGCATGCTGAAATTGATAGGGTAGAGCCATGAATAAACCGGTTGTCTGGATAAGTGACATGGGCACACAGGACTAGATAAATAATTCAATTTAGCCTCAGCCAGACACTCTGAAGAAGAGGAAACAGCAGATTAGCATGACCCAGAGAATGCTTCTTCACCCGGGGAGCTGCTGCCAGTGTGCCTGGCTTTCCAGGGCAGCTGAGCCCACTGCAGGATCCTCCCTCCCACTCTGGGAGACCGCACAGCGGGCGGCGTTGAGGATTCCAGGCTTTAATTCTTGGTTTGTAAATTGTAACTGTGAGCAGTGTTGGGAGGGGTCAGCCTGGTGTTGCCATGTGCTGCTGAGAAGTCCACTCCCCATTCCTGATTCTTGGGTCAGGGGGACCCAACCCACCTTGAAAGCCAGGTTGTGGATTGGGGGATGTGGTTCACTTGGAATGTTTGTCTAGTGTGCACAGAGCTCCGGGTTCGATCTCCAACACGTCATAAAACGGGGGTGCATATGCCTATAGTTAGCACTTGGGACGTAGAGGCAGGAAGACCAGGAGTTCCAGGTTATCCTTGGCCATATATAAAATCTGGGGCTAGCCTGGGATGCATGAGTCCTTGTCTTAAAAAAAAAAAATGTAGGCGGGCGGTGGTGGTGCACGCCTATAATCCCAGCACTTGGGAGGCAGAGGCAGGTGGATCTCTGTGAGTTTGAGGCCAGCCAGGTCTACAAGAGCTAGTTCCAGGACAGGGTCCAAAGCTATAGAGAAACCCTGTCTCAAAAAAAAAAATGTTGGGTGTGGTGGCATATGCCTTTAATTCCAGTACTCCAGTGACAGAGGCAGGAGGATTTCTGTGAGTTCCGGGCCAGCCTAGTCTATAGAGAGAGTTTCAGGTCAGCCTGGTCTATATAGAGTTCCAGGCTGTCCAGAGCTATATAGTGAGGCCCTCTCTCAAAAATGAATACATTAAATAAATAAATAAATATATTAAAATTTTTTTAAATAAAACAAGCCAATCAGACAAACAAATAAGAGCCATGTAGGTCAGGAGCCGGGATGCTTTTTACAGAGGTCCCCACCAGGACTTTCATGGGTCCTAAGAACAATCAAGCCCAGAGGAGAGTTCATATTAGCACGATGGATGGCAGTTGTCTCCGGGACTTGAGCCTTCAGCCAGACCCTCCTGGAATGTGCCATTACATCCCCACATCTGGAGAGGCAAGGTGGGCATGCAAGTGTCAAGAAGCAGAGGCCTGCATCTGTGAGACCCGTGGGATGAGAGGTGCAGACACTGTGGCCCCCTAGTCCCCGAGGGCCACGCGCACGCGCGCACACTGAACCTGCTGGGCCAGCTCCGGGAGGAGAGGGCCCACTGGCGGCCCTGTTGGGTGAGCCGCGGCTGCGCTCCGGATGCAGGACAGAGAGTTTGAGAGTCCAAACCGGAATGTCTGCAGGAAAATGGGCCAGCTCTGGACTGGGAGAGTTGGCAAGCGGAGCCTGATTGTTAGGGGTGGCTGTGAGTCAGCCTTAGGAGACAATAGCAATGGAATTCAGAAAAAGGTGCAGGCTGGGATATATATTTGGAAGTTACCAGCCGCTTAAAGCCAGGATACTGGAGGAGGCTCTCAGGGTGGGGACAGCAAGTGGAGGGAAGGTCTCAGCGTGCCTTGGTGGTGAGCAGAGATGGGTCAAGGGGATGGAGAAGGGTGGTCCCTAGTTGACGCTCTCCCTGCTTCCTCTTTTATTTATCTTGAGACAGAGTCTCACTCTGCGAAACAGGCAGAATTCACGTTAGGGTCAGAATGCCCTTGAACTCAAGATCCTCGTGGGTCTACCTCCCGCAGCGCCCAGATGGAAGATGAACTCCTTTCTTTTTAAAAAGCATTTATTTGTGTGTGTGTGTGGGTGGGTGGGTGGATGCATGTGGAGGTCAGAGGACAGCTTATAGAGTTGCTTCTCTCCAGCCACTACATGGACTCCAGGGATTGAACTCGGATCATCAGGCCTGCACCACCACCTTCCAGCTCCAAGATGAACTCTTGTGTGCTACAGAGACAGAGGAAGGTGAGGTTCAATGATTGACCACTGAACTAAGGCTGTGGAGAGAGAACACTTTGATGACACCTTTGAGCTGGCAAGGGGTGGAGGTCGGATGGACGTGAGGAGTTCGGTACCGGAAGGGAGGAGGGGGAGGGCTTGAAGGGCCCGTTCTTTCTAGGAGTCACAGCACGAGGCGGGGAGGGGCTGCAAGAGAGAAGGAAGATATTTGAGAGCACAAGGTCATGAGGGATTTTTTTTTCCTCCCAGAAAGAAAATTCAGAGGCTTTTTGTGTGTTGGTGGAAATAACCACAGAGACAGGGAAGTATGGGTGAGGAGAGGGTGAGCGCTGGCATGGAGCCCTGGAGAGGCAGGTGGGGTTGGCATCTGGTGCACAGCCGCGTGGAGTGGCACATGCCTGTAATCCCAGAACTCAGAAGGTGAAGGCAGGAGGAGAATCAGGAGTTCATGGCTAACCTTGGCTTCATAGCAACCTCAACGCTAGCCTGGGCTACATAAGACCCTGTCTAAAAACAGCAAAAAGGAAAAGAAAAGAAAAAAAAAAAAGGAAACAAGAAACGGGGCTGCCCCGCCATGGGACAAGGGCGGGTGCTGCCTCAGTGGGAGGAAAGGCAGAGCGGATGGGCGCAGATGCAGGTGGGCGGGGAGCAGTGGAGCCAGCACAAGTCCTGTGCCAAGGGCTTCTATTTTCTTAGCAAAATCGGAAGAGGTTGTCAGCTGAGAGTGAGGTGGAGGAGGAGGTGTGAAGCAGTCGTCTAGGAGAATGGGTGTGAATAGACTTGAAGGACAGAGTGTGGTGGCTGGGCAGTTGTGGCCCTGGGAGTGGGGCTGGGGGCTGAGCCTGCAGCTTAGTGGGGGGGGGGGCACACACGAGGCCTCCAGCTCTGGAATGAGTGGGTGAGTTAGAGGTTTACCTTCAGGCCTGGTTGCCTGTGGGACCGGGTGGGGATAAAGAGCTGAGTGTATTTACTAGGGCTGTGTGTCTTTGCCAGAGGACCGTACTGTCAGATCAGTAGAGGACATTAGGACATAGCGTCCAGGCCGGGGCAGGAGGGAAGTGGGACCCTAGGCTGGTGAGTGTCCCAGATATTTGCTCAGATCAATGGATTTCAGATGAGGTGTTGGGTTGGGGTTCCGGGGGTGGGGGCCAAGAGGGTAGGCTGCAGAGAAGGGCAGTGTCCACGGGACAGTGGGATTCATGAAGCTGAGAGGTAGAAGCCTGGATGGAGGAGGGGAGGCTGAGCTATTACAGAAGACTGAAGAGGAGACAAGGGCGGGGGGGGGGGGGGGGGGGGGGGGGGGGGGGGAGGGGGGGGAAGAGACAGAAATCTTTAATAGATGGAGAGGAAAGGAGAGGGGGAGACGGAGAAAGAGAGAACTGTTTATGTACTTAAATGCTGGAATCAAAAGTTACTCTAACCAGGTGTGGTGGCATATACCTTTAATCCCAGCACCCAGGAGGCAGAGACAGGCAGATCCCTGTGAGTTACAAACAAGTGCGATTTATACAGTGAGTTTTGGGCTAGCCAGAACTTACATTAAGACCCTGTTTCAAAAACAACAAGCAAACAACAACAAACTCTACCGCAGGGCAGTCTCACACGTCTGTAATCCCAGCTCTGGGGGCTGGAGTGGGGAGCAGGAGGATCAGGGCGTTAAGGCTAGCCTCAGCTACAAAGTAAATTTGAGTCTAGCCTGAACTACAAGAGACCCATTGTTCAATAGCCATTTAACCATTGACCTTTCTCACTTTGCTGAGGACCAAACTAGGGTTTTTTTTTTTTTTTTTTTTTTTTTTGCATACAAGTCAACCTCTTTACCAATTCAACCACTTTACCAATGAGCTGTTTTAAAGCCCTAGTCCGGACATTACTTTTTAAAATGAATTGTGTACGTGCATGTGTGCATGCGTGCAGGTGCTCCCGTGCTGCTGCATAGGTACGGAGGTGAGAGGACAGCTTTCTGAATATGGTTCTCACCTTCCACCTTGTGTTGGACACTGCACTGGACACAGCAGGCTGGCTGACCTCTCAGCTTCTGACAGTTCTCTTCCAGCCTCCCATCTCACCAACGGAGGGCTGGGGTTTCAGACGGGCAGCGCTGCATTGGAACCTGGGTTCCGGGGACGGGGTTTCAGAAGGGCATTGGAACCTGGGTTCCGGGGACGGGGTTTCAGACGGGCAGCGCTGCACTGGAACCTGGGTTCCGGGGACGAGGTTTCAGACGGGCAGCACTGCACTGGAACATGGGTTCCAGGGACTGAACTCAGTTTTTCAGGTCCGGCTTGCAACACAAATGCTTTTACCCCTGAGCCATCTCTCCGGCCTGCCATTGATCTCTCTGAGGAGGAGGAGGAGGAGGGGGAGGAGGGGGGGGGGGAGGAGGAGGAGGAGGAGGAGGAGGAGGAGGAGGAGGAGGAGAAACAGGAAGTGACAGAAGAAAGCACAGTGAGCTGGGCATGGTGGCATCTGCCTGTAATCACAGGACTGAGGATGCAGAGGTAGGAGGCTCTCGGACAAGCTTGGATTACACAATGAGACCGTGTCTCAAATATGAAAACAGAACCACACATTTCACAGCCCCATGGCACATCCCTATGGGAGGAACCCCTGGGAATTGAACGTCCCCATCCTTAGTTAGACCCATGGGTTACCAGAGAGGAAACACATGTCATTAGAGGCACCTTCCTGTCAGGGCAACGGAGTGATGGGGACAATAAGAAAGGTTGAGAATGTGGGAGTGGAGTTCACCGGAGATTCAGAGAACCGTGGATTTCTGCAAAGGGGGAGGTGGGAAGTGAAGTCAGAAAGGCCAGTGAGTCCCTGAGCTATAGAGGACGGGGATTTTTGAGTCTCGTGTAAGGATGGGTATGACCAGGACAAGATGGAAGACAGAGGTGCAGGATGGGCAATGGGCAGAGAGGAGAGAGTTCTTTGTGACTCTTGATGGTGGTGTGGGGTCTGAGACAGATCTTCCTAAGAGCAGATGTGGCAGCCAGGCGGTGATGGCCCATGCATTTAATCCCAGTACTAGGGAGGCAGAGACAGGCACCTGTGAATCCAAGGTCAGCCTGGTCTACGAAGTGAGTTCCTGGACAGCCAGGGCTGCACAGAGAAACCCTGTCTCTGAAAACAAACAAACAAACAACACACACACACACACACACACACACACACACACACACGCACAGAGAGGATCTGGCGCCCTCTTCTGGTTCTGTGAGCACCAGGCATGCACATGGTGTATATACATGCTGGCAAAGCACCCATACATACATATAAACAAAAATCCACTGTTGTAAAGAGCCATTAATAAGAAGCCCATTGGCCTTTAGGAAAAACTGCTAAACCATGGATTAACCTTGCCAACAAATGATGCTGGGGAGTTTCTCAGCTCTGGGAGGGGAACAGACCCACACTCTTCCGTCACATGAGCATTTGTGAACTGAAACTATCAATCTTCCTAAATAGGATTCTAAGAACACAAACTATAAAAATCAATAGATTGAATTTCATCAGAATTAAAATCTGGAGCCAGAGGTAGTGGCGCACGCCTTTAATCCCAGCACTTGGGAGGCAGAGGCAGGCGGATCTCTGTAAGTTTGAGGCCAGTCTGGTCTACAGAGTTCTCGGACAGCCAGGACTATTACACAGACAGAGAAGCCCTGTCTTGAAAAAAGTAAACAAAAAAAATTAAAAACTGGGTTGGTGCAATAGCACAGAGGTCAAAACACTTTGCATCAGACCTGGTGACTGGGTTTGATTCCAGGCAACCAGGCCCTCCATAGTGTCCTCTGGCCTTCACATTCGGGGTGTGGCACATGTAACCACCTCACCCTGCTCGGAGGGTAAAGAAATGTAAACATTTTAAGAATTATCCAGAGGATCAGATGCCCTCTTCTGACCTCCCTGGTTACCAGGCATGCACATGGTGCACTCAGGTACAAACATACACCTGAAACATGGATAGGAAGGGCCGGGCATGGTGATGCACGCCTTTGATCCCTGCCCTCAGTGGGCATAGGTAGGCAGAGCTCTGTGAATCTGGAGCCAGCCTGATCTACATAGTGAGTTCCAGGACAGTCAGGGCTATATGGAGAGTCAGTCTCAAAATCAAACAAAGAAACAAAACAAAACAAGATCAATAATGGATAAACACATTTTTTTTTTTTGAGACAGGGTTTCTCTGTAGCTTTGGAGCCTGTCCTGGAACTCCCTTTGTAGACCAGGCTGGCCTCAAACTCACAGAGATCTGCCTGCCTCTGCCTCCCGAGTGCTGGGATTAAAGGCGTGCGCCACCACCGCCCAGATGATAAACACATTTTTTTTAAGCTTCAAAAACTGTTATGGCAATCTAGAATTAATGACCTCTCTCTCTCTCTCTTTCTCTCTTGCTTAGCCATCTCTCCAGCCCCCAAAAACAGTCTTTATAAGATTAAGAAAGTTCTTTCCATTTCTAGTTTGGCAAGAAACTTTTTAAAATTACTTGCCCCTTTCATCCAATCAGTGCTGGACTGTATGTAGGGGCCCTTTTTCTGCCTCCATTAAGATAACCAGCCGAGACTTGTGAAGTCTGTCCTGATCAATTACATAGACTGTGTTTTGATCCTTAACCAAACTTCACATTCCTAGTCTTATTCCTTTTATGTATGGAAAATTCTGTTCATTGAACTTGCTTAGGGATCTCATAGCTGTGCTCATAAACCAGACTGACCTTTAATTCTCCCTTATTGATCTTCAGATTTGGAGGTCAGGGTCAATGTTGACTCCATAAGGTGAGTTAGGGATAATTCCCATCCCTTGGGTGGATCGCCTAAATTTACAGAAAAAGTGCAACCATGGAATGTCTTTCCCTCAAATGTTCAATATAACCCAAAGGTGAAGCATCTGAATTTGTAGTTTTCTTCCTGGGAAGACCTTTTATTTCAAAAATAGGTTTCACGCAACCAAGTTGACTTAAAAAGTGTTGTATAGCCAATGACAACCATGAACTTCTGGTCCTCTAGCCTCCAGTTCCAGAGGCTAGGGTCACAGCCATGTGCCACCACACCTGTTATATGCTGGGCATCAAATCCAGGGCCCCTTACATGCTAGGTAAGCATTCTAACAACTTAGATCTATCTCCAGAATTTTCCTCCTCCCTCCCTCCCTCCCTCCCTCCCTCCCTCCCTTCTTTCTTTCTCCCTTTCTTTCTTTTATTTCTGAGATAAACTCTCATGTAGTCCAGGCTGGTCTCAAACTTCCTATGTAGCTATCACTAGCCTTGAATATAAAAAAGTAATAATTTGGTGTGTATGCACACATGTATACCACAGTGTAAGAGGAGACCGCTCATTTGTTCCTGTCTGCCCAGACCCGAATAATCACACAGAAACTCTATTAATTACAATACTGTTTGGCCTATTAGCTCAGGCTTCTTATTAACTAACTCTTACATCTTAAATTAACCCATTTCTATTAACTGTGTATCGCCACAAGGCTGTGACTTACCAGGTTAGGGTTAGTTCTATTCGGGCATCTTTCTCCTTCAGCAACTACATGGCATCTCTTTGACTCTGCCTATCCTCTCTATATCTCTGTTCAAATTTCTCGCCTGGCTTTACTCTGCTAAGTCATTGGCTGACGCAGCTTTATTCATCAACCAATAAAGCAACACATATACAGAAGGACATCCCACATCACTTCAGTGCACCTGCTAGAGCACTCATGCAGAGGACAGACGACAACCCGCGGGAGAGCCTATGCTCTCTTCCCACCATGCGGGTCTCAGGGATCAAATCTAGGCTTACAGGCAAGAACCTTGCCCATTGAGACACCTTGCAGGCTCTGACCTTGAGTCTTTTATCCCCTGGAGTTCATCTCCCATGTTCTTACATGCTGAGATTATGTGTGTGCCACCATGCCCAGCTACAGAGTCATAATTGCTGTTTGAACCTACAGGATTTATAGGATATTGTGGTTTTCCATGTCTTCAGTGAGTCATTTGATAGGTCATTATTTCTAGGAACTTTTTGTTTCATCTGAGCCTCTCATAAGTGTTGGCATTAAGCTACTCATAATATCCTCTTGGTATCTTGGCTTTATTTTTACTTACACAGTCTGTGTGGCATGGCATTTATGAGAGTGCACATGTATGCACATGCATGTGGAGGCGAGAGGTGGATACTAGGTGTCTTTGTTTCACCCTATACCTTATCATATGTGACGGTTTCTCTCATTAAACCCAGTGCCTGCTGGCCCAGCATCTTGTGGGTGCTGGAGCTCTGAGCTCAGTGTTTACTCAGTGGGCACTTTACCCATAGAGTTGCCTTTTCCCACCCCACTCTCATCATCTTTAGTCTTATGTGAGCGCTCTTGGGATGACCCCTTCTTCATTCCTCATAGTCATTTGTTTTTAATTAATATTCTCATCAGAATTTTATCAATCTGAAGTATTGCTGTGTGTTAATTCTGTGGTCCAGCAATTTTTTTATTTTGTTTTCTTGAAATGAAGTCTCATGCTGTAGCCCAGGTTGTTCCCAAACTCATGACAGTCCTCCCTTGGTCCGCCATGCTGTGAGGACAGTCATGAGCCATCACACTCAGTCTAACAGCATCCTGCATTCGGTACGCCCAGAGTTGTAGGTTCAGTTCTTAGCAGTGATTTATTTTTAAATTGAAGAACAAAGTATAGTAATAAAAAAAATTCTATTGTATGCTTGGCTTTTATTTAATATTTTTTTCTCTTCTACAGCCAGCCGTGGTGGCCCATGCCCATATTCACAGCACTTGGGAGGCAGAAGCAGGGAGATCAGGAGTGCAGAGGCATGCTGGGCCATGCAGCAAGTTTGAGAGTAGCCTAGGCTACAACAGACCCTGTCTCCAAAATAAAAAGGCTGGAGCTGGAGCTCAGTTATTAGAGGGCTTGTCTCCAGTGCACAAAGCCTGGGTTTCGATCCCTAGTGCTGCATAAACACCTGTAGTCCCAGAACTCTCCCTGTGGAGTTTGGAGGATCAGAAGTTCAAAGTCATTCTTGACTATCTAGCAGGTTCAAGGCCATCCTGTACTAGGTGAGCTACATGAGACTCAAAACAACAGCAATAACAGAACCCATTCATCTCCCATTTATATTATTTTATTATTCTAGTTTATTGGAGTAAAATTTTCTTCAGTTTGTCAGTTTTCAGCAATGTTAACTACACATGTAATGCTGTAGATCTTTCTTTCAATTTTACCTTAGCTCAATCCACAGGCATCTACTTATGCATTCATTCATCCATTTATCTGTCTGTCTGTCTATCCATCTATCTTCTATCTATAGGGGATGTTGCGATAGAATCTCACTGTATAATCCTGGCTGACTTGCTGTTCTCCATGAAGCCCAAGCTAGTCTTAAACTTGCCGCAATCCTCCAGCCTCAGCATCTAGAGTGCTAGTATTGTATGTGTATGACACCATACCGGGCATACACTTTGATCTGTAGGATTTTTACTATTATTTAGTCATCTGATAAAGCAATACGAGTTCTTCACTAATTATTTTTTGTTTTGTAGCTATTTCCTTTTAATGTCCTTTTTAAAAAAACAAAACAAAAAAACCGAGAGAGGGTCTCATGTAGCCCAGGCTAGCCTAAAACTCACTGTGTCTGAGGATGACCTCGAGCACCTGATCTTCCTGCCTCCTCTGTGTCTACAGGTGCACACCACTTCACTTTGTTTGTTTTTTTTTTTTTTTGTTCAAGACGTGGTTTCTCTGTGTAATAGACCTAGCTGTTCTGGAACTAGCTCTTATAGACCAGGCTGGCCTCGAACTCACAGAGATCTGCCTGCCTCTGCCTCCTGAGTGCTGGAATTAAAGGTGTGCGCCACCACTCCCTGGCACTTCACTTGGCTTTATGTCGACGTTTTAACGACACTTTGGTGAACAGGACATACTAGTTTATTTTTCAGGGTTAAGGACCATTCAGGGCTAGTGCTCCACCACCAAGCTGCCACCGCAGTCCTTAATTTCACTGTAGCGCAATTTGTGTACTAGTTTTTGCTTTTTAGTCCAAAGGTTCCAAATGAGGGTTCCTGACACAGTGGGCCGGCAATCTTAGGCTAGCCTACATACCTACATATATACATTTGAGTGTGTGTGTGTGTGTGTGTGTGTGTGTGAGAGAGAGAGAGAGAGAGAGAGAGAGAGAGAGAGAGAGAGAGAGAGAGAGAGAGAGAGAGAGAGAGAGAGAGAGGAGAGGAGAGACATGTGTTTAGTTTAATGTACCTCTCTTCTGTTTTGTTTCAGGTGCTCGGGATCAGTCCAGGGCCTCATGCTCATGTGCGCCAGGCAAGCTTTTCCACCTACTCACACAACCAGGTCTCCTATAGTATTTTCCAAAATATTTGTTATTGCTTTTTTTTTTTTTTTGAGACAGGATTTCTCTGCATAGCCCTGACTATCATGGAACTTGCTCTGTAGACCAGGCTAGCCTAGAACTCAGAGATCCGCTTGCCTCTGCCTCTCAAGTGCTGGGATTAAAGGCGTGCGCCATCACCACCCAATTTAAGAACTTTACTTTTTTGGGTGCGCCTATGTGAATAAGAATTGTTTTTCAACATAATTATTCAAGTGTTGCTGAAACTGCAGGAGGAATTGGAAGTGTACTTGACGAAGCTGTGTGTGCATGTGTGTGTATATGTATGTGTGTGTGTATGTATGTATGTTTGTGTGTGCATGTGTGTGTGTATGTATGTATGTGTGTGTGTTTATGTATGTATGTTTGTGTATGTGTGTGTGTGTTGTTTTTAAATGTGCTTGTGTGGGGGGTCTAAGAGTGTGGAGATGCATGCGTGCAGAGGCTGGAGCAGGACTGGGTGTCCTCTGTCACTCTTCACCCTTCTCCCCTGGGAGAGAGTCTCTCATTGAATCTGGTACTCTCTTTTTCAGTTAGGCTGGCAGCCAGAAAACCCCCAGCAGTGCCATTGTCAGTGATTCTACCCTGACACCCCAAACACAGCTCTGTGGCTACAGGCGCACAGGGCCATGCAGAGGACCACATATGACTCTTCCATGGGTGCTGGGAGCCAAGCCCAGGGCCTCCTCATGTTCATGTTGTGAGCTTTTATCTCTGAGCCACTTCACCAGCCCCTGAAGAATCTTGTCAGTGTTGATGTCTCCCCTTTGACCTAACCACTCACTCCAAGGAATCAATCTTAAGGAAATGATTCTCGGGAAATAATGAGTCACTTCTAAGAAACAATGGGAAGGATAGTCATTAAAGCATAATATGTAATAATAAAAAATTTAGGTGAGTTAGATGTACAGTAAAACAAGACATTATATTTAATTAAATACCCCATAACCATCGGGAAATCACCACGTGATCCCAAGTTGCGCACATAAACATCAGCTATTATTTTAATTCACCACACAAGGAAATAGGAACATATTGTTACTTTAAAATCTCATGAAATATGCCCAGCATGATGGTGCATGCAGGATTGTCAAAATGACGTGGAAAAAAAATCTAGGACTCATGCTTCTCATTTTCAAAACTGTCTCAAAGCTACAACACTCAGGCCTGTGAACTCCTGGCACGGGGCTTAGACATACAGAACAATGAAAGAGACACAAGAAAGGACCCCTTGCCAGGTTCTTGACAATGTTGGACCCAAGTTCTCTGGAGGAACAGGACGATGGGATGAGCATCAGATAAGGGGATGGGCTTTGAACCTTTCAGGAGGACCTATGGTGGTTTGCATGAGAACGGCCCCCCACGGGTTCATACTTTTGAATACTTGATCCTCAATTGGTGAAACTGTTTGGGGAAGATTAGGAGGTGTGGCCTTGTTAGAGGAGAGGTGTGTTATGGGGTGGGACAGGCTTTGAGGTTTCAAAGTCCAAGTTTGTCCCAGTTGTCTACCTGCCTGTCTCTCTTGATCTGCAAACTTTGGATCAGATGTGAGCTCTCGGCTACTGCTCCAGCACCCTGCCTGCCTGCATGCTGTAATGCACCCCACATGATGGTCACAGACTCGCCCTCTGAGGCTCTACGTCCCCGAAAAATTCTTCCAAAAAAAACCTCTTCCATAAGTTACCCTGGTCATGATAGCTTATCACAGCAATAAAGAATAACCGAGACAGGTCCCAGTGACAAACTAAGATGTGATTCCATCAAAGTTCACTCTGGGGAACCAAAAAGTTTCTTGTGCTTCCTTACCCAGTATAGGTGAGGGGTTACTTTCAGAGATGGGAACAGCCTACACCCGGTAAGCCTTTACTCAGTAGGCATGAGGGCTTCCCATAGCCACAGAGATGGAGTCCACTTCCCTAGTCTTTCCTGACTATATATTCTAGCCTCTCACTGAGGCTACATGGTTAAGGCAAAATCCATACAACACTTGGCAAGGAGTGTTAGCTACTCAGGGAAAGTTAAGGTAGGTAATCCTTTTACAAGTTGGATGGAACTCATAAGATGAAGGTTACATGGTTCAAGGATAGTCATGCACACCGTTGGCTTATGTAGTCCTGACTGGGTAGTACAACCATGGCCGCCTGCAGGTCAGCTGCATGGGATATGAGGCTGGAGGCCTCAGCTGTCTAAAGTTGGTGCTGAAGGCCTGTGGGATTCCTGGAGGGCAATTGGCCTTCAGTTCATCTTGGAAGGCTGAAGAAGATGGGTTCTGATGGTATGAGGGACAGCCATGGCACCAAGAGCGTAGATGCGCTCCCTAGCAAAGAGCAGATGTGGGCAGGCAACAGCCACTCTGCTTTTCCCTCAGACCTCTGTTTATTTGGGGTGCTGCCAGCCGAAGCTGCTTGCTCTTAGGAGGGTCGTCCCCAAAGGGTTAATATTTCCAGGAACTACCCTCACAAACCCACCTAGAGGTGTCTCTTACTTGATTCCAGGGCCAGTCAAACTGACAGTCAAGATGAACCATATTGGGTTGGATCCAATTACTCCTCTGCTCTGACTCTTGCTTTGTGGAATAAGAAGTATAAACTCTTTTGTTTTATTTTATAATAGCACACAGTTAAGAGACTTTGAACTTCTAGAGCATTGGAATTTGTGTTCCGTGTGCACTTGCACGCACTTGTGTACCCATCTCCGGGAAAATACACATGCTACCCTGTAGTGGTTAGAAAGAAAACACCAGGCTCACAGGGAGTGGTACAATCAGGAGCTGTGACCTTGTTAGAGTAGGTGGAGACTTTGTTGGAGGGAGTGTGTGTCTTTAGGGTCTCAGAGCTCAAACCAGGCCTACTGGCTTACAGTGTTTTCTTTCCTGTTGTCTGCAGATCAAGATGTAGAACTCTCAACTCCTTCTCCAGTACCACGTCTGCCTGCATGCCACCATGCTTCTCACCATGACAATAATGGATTAAACCACTGAACTGTAAGCAAGTCCCAAATAAATGTTTTCCTTTGTAAGAGTTGCTGTGGTCATGGTGTCTCTTCACAGCAATAGAAACTCTAACTAAGACCACTCCCCCTCTTTCACACACACACAGAACCAAAAACCAAACAACAAGAAGAAAGGAAATCAGAGCTGGAGAGAAGGTTCAGCGGTTAAGAGCACTGTCTGCACTTCCAGAAAAGACCTGGATTCAATTCCCAGCACCCATGCGAGAGCTCACAGACATCCATAACTCCAGTTCCAGAGGATCTGATACCATCTGATACCTTTTTCTGGCCTCTGAAGACACCAGGAACACACATACATGCAAGCAAAACACTCATACACTTAACACAACAATTCAAAAAATTAAAAATGAAAATATAAGACAACCGGAAAATGCTTACAAAGTGCCTGTGTGGTAAGAGTCACATCTAAGGTTGTAGTGGTTGCTCGTGTTCATATTCCCAGAACTTGAGAGGCTAAGGCAAGAGGGTGGCCTCAAGTTTGAGGCCAGCCTGGGCTAAAGAGAGATGCTGACATTTCTCCAAAGAAGATATTAACTTACCTAAAGAGGCTTTGGGATACAGCTTAGTGAGTTGTGGGGACCCACAGATGGAAGCCTGTTCCACCTTGAGGTAGTGTTCTTAGCAATATGGGAGGTCTGAATTCAACTCCCAGCACACGTTGGGAGTAAACTCACAAATATCATTAATTATCAGGAAAGCACAAACCATACTGGGATATGACTCCATACACTACGGTGCTGTACGCTAAAGGACAGACAGTAACAAGTGCTGGCAAGGATGTGGAGAAATTAGAACCTTCGTTTACGGCTGCAGGAATGGAAAGTGGCCCGGCTGTACTGGAAAGCAATTAACAGAGGTTAACCACAAACAGTGGTCACGAGTTCCTGTATGGTCCTGCCGTTCCCCTCAGGCACAGGCAAAAGGGCAGTGAAATCCTGTCCACCCAACAGTTTACCCGTGAGCGCTCATAGCAGCAGCACCGAGAATATCCAAAATGTATGAAACATTCCAAACATCCATGACCAGACGAATGGGAAAAGGAAATGGGGTATATCTACATAACAGAATATAAATATCATTCGGCTATGAAAAGAGGTGAATAGTTTTCTTTTCCTTTTCAAAACCGTTTCCTGAGGTGGTGTCTTACTATGTAGTCCAGGCTGGCATACTGACAAACATACTCATAAATATAAATCTTGAAAATTCTACTTCACTTTTTTCATTTTGTAGTAGAGGTTGCTTTGTGTACCCTTGTCTGTCTTAGAATTCCCTTTGTAGACAAGGCTGGCCTTGAACTCACAGAGATCACCTGCCTCTGCCTCTCAAGTGCTAGGATTAAAGGTGTTGCACCACCACCGCCCACCCCACATTTTTATTTTTATTTTAAATGCATTTATTTTGAGGCTGGAGAGATGGCTTAGCAGTGGAGAGTACTTGCTGCTTTTCCAGAGGACTTGCGCTTGGTTCTCAGCACCCATATGGTGGCTCACAATCACCTGTAACTCCAGTTCCAGGGGATCCAGAATCCTGGTCACCTGGCCACCGATGGTTGTGTGCTCCTGTGTGCTCCTCACCACTGATCCATCTAGCTAGCGCTCTAAGCTGTTCTTTTGAAAAGCAGCTATGCCAGGTGAGGTGGCGCACGCCTTTAGTCCTTGCACTTGAGGCCGATCAAGTCTCAAGCCAGCCTGGTCTACAAAGTGAGTTCAAGGCCAGCCAAGGTAACATAGTGATATCCCGACTCACAAAATTGCATCAGGTCGGTCTCTCATGACCTCAGTCAAAGCTACACTGGGCTGGTGGGAAGCGAGAGGCAGGCAAGCAAGGAGGACACAGAGACAGCTCTGGTGGCTGTGCTAACCACGAAGGCAGATGGGGGTGATGGGTAGAAGCAGGGGTGTTTATTGTACCATAAGAGACACCAGGAAATTCCACAGCCTGTCTCACCAGCCCTTTTTCCTGACAATAACCAGACAGGCCAGGCCAGTCCCCTACCTCTGAAATGTAGCCACCTGGAAAAACCACACCCAGCCCGCCTTTGGACACCTTCCCTTCCATGTCCACTCTCACTGACCACTTTCTTCTCAATGCAAGGTAGCCTGGCCAGATTGAAGTTTATGCATTCCAAGAGCAACCTGCAAGTTTGGTGGGGGTGAAGGGAAGCTCTCACTGCTTCTGAAGTCAGTGAGGGGAAGGGGACCCAGCAGGAGCACAGCCCATTTGCCTCATGTCCCTTACTACTTCCCTCTAGTCGCTATGACAGAATCCCGAGCCAAAGCGACCCAAGGAAGAAGGGGTTTATTCCAGCGGCTCAGTTTGCGGGTATGTGGTCCATGATGGAGGACGATAGTGCAAGGCAGTTGGTCACATGGCATCCACAGTCAGGAGGTAGAAAGAGACGCATGCCCAGTACCTCCTTCGTTTTCTACATCTTCACTTCATTCAACCCAGGATAGAGGGCTGCCCGCATTCAAGGTGGGTGGCTGCCTAGTTAGGGCTGGAGAGATGATGGGTCAGTGGGTTAAGAGCACTGGCTGCTCTTCCAGAGGACGTGGGTTCGGTTCCCAGCACCCACACGGCAGCTCACAACTGTCTGAAACTCCAGTTCCAGTGGGTCCAACACCCTCACATAGACATGCATGCAGGAAAACACCAATGCATGTAAAACAAAATAAATAAGTATGTTTAATTTGGCAGCTCACAGTTCCAGAGGGTTAGAGCCCGTGACCATGGTGGTGAGGACCGGTAGCGGACAGGCAGACATGGTGCTGGAGCAGTAGCTCAAAGCTTCTTTTTTCACAAGCATCAGACAGAGCAAGAGGTCTATTTAGGAATGGTGTGGACTCTTGAAACCTCAAACTCCACTCCCAGTGACACAACTCCTCCAACAAGGCCACGCCTCCCCCCAAAAGGCCACGCCTCCTGGTCCTTCCCAGTTTTACCAACTGCAGTTGATGGGGGAGATTCAAGCATTCAAATATATGCGCCTATGGGGGGGGGGTGTCATTCTCATCCAAACCACCTCGGTACGGCTTTTCTCATCCGATAAACCTTCCCGGAAACTTCTAGATACACCCAGGGGTATATCTCTTAGGCGATTCCAAATCCAGTCAAGTTGACAGTGAAGACTGACCACTGCCCCGCCCCCATGGACACACTTACTCACCACCTGCTAAAGTGTCCATTCTGCGGTGCCCTTTCTAGTGCTCTGGTTCCTGGGAGCCCCAGGGATGCTGCAAGGAGACTCAATGTCTTCACTCTCTTTCACCTGATGTTCCTCCTGCCACCTTCTGCCCTCAGCAGGGATGCAGGTCCTCGAAGGTCCATCTAGGCAGAGGGACCCCTGGGCAGTGCAGCCTGGGCTGCCTGACTGAAGCGGTGAAGAGAACCCATTCCCAGAGGTCAGCTTTGGCCCATGCTTCTTGTGGATTTAGATGTGTAGCCTTGTAGGGCCTAGCTTAGGCTACATCTTGGTAGGACAAACTCGGAATTCAGCTTCAAGCCACGGCCCCTGTCATAATCTACAACCTCTGATTAGTATGTATACTGTGCAGGCCACCAGTTCCCCAACAACCAGGACACTCAGGGGCTCAGATGCTGCATTGGGACTGGATCTGGGAAGGAGACTGACTGGGGTCTAGCACCTAGAACTCTTCTGAGTCTATCAAACCTTTTCTTTCTTTCTTTCTTTCTTTCTTTCTTTTCTTTCTTTCTTTCTTTTTTTTTAGACAGGGATTCATGTAGCACAAGTTGGCCTCAAATTCGCTAAGTCGCCAAAGCTGGCCTTCAACTCCTGGTCCCCCCACCCCTGCCTTACTTCTCATGTGCTGGAATCATAGCCACATATCCCCATACTCATCTACCAACCCACTCTTAGCCTTCTGTCAGAGCCATCGGCTTTGCACAGGCTCACCCACCTTGGAGGAGGTAGCCACTGAATCTGGCTTTCTAGGTGCCTACATAAATATACCCACTCACTCCATCTGGGCCAGAGCCAGCAAGTAAGACATGCTTACAAACTGGGGCTTGAACAAGTTCTAAGGATTGGGGTGGAGGGAGACTATTCTAGTTTGCTTCTCTGTTTCTGTGATAAAACAGTGACCAAAAGAAACTTGCAGAGGAAAGGGTTTATTTCGTTTTGCACTTACAGCCCATTATCCAAGGAAACCAAGGCAGGAACCTGAAGGCAGGAACAGAAGCGGAGACCACGGAGGCTACTGCTTACTAGCTTGCTTCCCACATGGCTTGTTCAGCTACATTCCTTATACAGCACAGACCCACTGCCTAAGGATGGCACCACCTGCAGTGGCCTGGCGCCTCCTACATCACCTGCCATCACCACAGTGGGCTAGGACCTCCTACATCACCTGCCTAAGGATGGCACCATCCACAGTGGGCTGGGACCTCCTAGATCACCTGCCTAGGGATGGCATCACCTACAGTGGGCTGGGGCCTCCTACATCACCTGCCTAAGGATGGCATCACCCACAGTGGGCTGAGGCCTTCTACATCACCTGCCTAGGGATGGCATCACCCACGGTAGGCTCGGACCTTCCACATTCATTAGCAATCGCTAACATGCCCCACAGACATGTCCACAAATCACTCTGATGGAGGCACTTCCTCAGCTGAGATGCCCTTTGCCCACGTAGCCTAGGTTGCATTCAGGTGACAGAAACTAACCAGCACAGGGCCTTCTACACTCAGTTCTCTCCTGGAGAGCAAAGATGTTATTTAATGACGAAAATGAAGGCTCCGAGAAAGCCCATAGGGAAAGGTCTGCTGGGGTGGGTCACTTTTGTTTGTTTGTTTGTTTGTTTTTAAGACACTCTCACCTTGTCTCCCTGGCTGGTCTGGAACCCTCTAAGTAGTCCAGGCTGTCCTTGAACTCACAGAGGTTCGTCTGCCTCTGCCTCCCATACCAGTCTCTGACCAGTTTTGTTTTCTGAGACAGATTCAATCGCTGGTGCTGGCCTCAAACTCCTCACATAGCCAGATCTGTAGCTTA